GATATAAGGCAAATTCGCAAAAGGCAACATTGAGATTACCCCTGTGAGAACGGTAGCGAGTCGGGCGGGACATGCGACCCCACGGGGGCTCCCAACTTTGATGGTGAAAGAGGGAAGGTGCCACGGAGTAGAGGGTTCCATGAGCTGACGAAAATAAGAATGTGGGCTAAAGGAAGCTTGGGAGGGGACATGCTCCTCTGAAAGCCTGGCTTATAAGAAGACAGCCAAGGATAGGTGCCGAGACATACTAAAGGAAGCTTGAGAGGGGACATACTCCTTTAAAGCCTGGCTTATAAGAAGACAGCCAAGTATATGTGCCGAGACATACTTCCCATTTGCTTCTTCATCCAGATACCCAAGAGTCGTAAAGAGTCTACGCAACTCTCACTCATCATGAAGTACCTCGCATCTCTCGGAGCCCTTATCGGCGCCGTCGCTGCACAGGCACCGATCTACGGCCAGTGCGGAGGCCAGGGCTGGACCGGCGCGACGACATGTGTCAGCGGCTCAGTATGCACTGCTACGAACCAATGGTACAGCCAGTGTCTTCCCGGAACGGCCGCGCCTTCGGTCACAACGACGCTCGTCACGAAGACGACTTCCACGGCCAAATCCACCGCCACAGCAACCTCTCCACCTGCCAACTCTCTCGGCTGGAAGTGGTTCGGTGTCAACGAGGCCGGTGGTGAATTTGGAGAGAAGACGCTGCCTGGTGTTTGGGGCACGGATTTCATCTTCCCTGACACATCTACCATTACTGTGAGTTTCCGAGAGTTCAGTTTAGGTAATGGGGCTTGAAACTTACACTTGTTTAGACTCTTCGAGGCCAGGGTTACAACACATTCCGCGTCCAGTTCAAGATGGAGCGCATGACTCCAAACTCCCTGACGGCAGGCTTCAACACAGCCTACCTGGCAAACTTCACAACCGTTATCAACCACATTACCTCGAGCGGAGGCTGGGCTGTCTTGGACCCCCACAACTACGGACGGTTCTACGACAACATCATCACTGATACTGGTGCTTTCCAAACGTGGTGGAAGAACTTTGCCACCCAGTTCAAGAATAATGATCACGTCATCTTTGATACGAACAACGAGTATAACACTATGGACCAGACACTTGTACTCAACCTGAACCAGGCCGCTATCAACGGTATCCGCGCAGCAGGAGCAACCCAGTATATCTTCGTCGAAGGAAATCAGTGGTCTGGCGCCTGGTCGTGGGTGACAGTCAACGATAACATGAAGGCCCTCACCGACCCGTTGAACAAGATTGTTTACGAAATGCATCAGTACCTCGACTCAGACAGCTCCGGTACATCGGCAACGTGTGTTTCTGCAACTATTGGCGTTGAAAGACTCACTGCTGCCACTAATTGGCTGCGCGAGAATGGTAAGGTTGGTATCTTGGGCGAGTTCGCCGGCGGAGCCAACTCCCAATGCCAGGCCGCCGTCAAGGGCATGCTTGACTACCTCAAGGCCAACTCAGACGTATTTTTGGGGGCCCTTTGGTGGTCAAGCGGGCCTTGGTGGGGTGATTATATCTACAGTTTTGAGCCTCCCTCTGGCACGGGTTACACGTATTACAACTCCTTGTTGAAGGGGTATGTTGCGTGAGGCGGTTGGAGATGCGGTACAGCCTTGCGTACTGTGTAACGCAAGGGAGGTGCTCTGGGGGCGTCTGAAATGGCTGTGAGGTCATGCTTATACCTTAAATTTGCTGTACATATTCACTTCGTATATATGATTCGATTCTTACCCAGACATGACAAACGTCAACTTGAAGCTTGGAAACTAGAGGTTTGTCCTGATCATCAGCCACGAGGAGACTTGAAATTGGAAACAGAAGGAAGATATTGGAAAGATATGAGTTGTGTTGTTGAAGAGTTTGACGCGGTGGATGCTAAACTATCACCGCACCATCGGGGGCCCTCCGGGCGAGGAGCCGGTATCTCGGCCCCACTCATACCGAGAAAGTGGATCACACCCGGACCAATCCGGCATGGACATTTTTCTGCCTTACACGTACCTTCAGCGATATTGAAACAAGACGCAATTCGATTCCATAATTCAATCTGATCGTTGAGGCTTTTATCTAACAATTGAGACTTCAATCTCATCGTCGAGATTAAAGCCATCAGGATAGAAAGGAAGTAGTGCAATGCCTTGCCGACTCGCGGTCCCTTCGTCAGGTAGCTGCAGGTGGATAGACAAATGGCCTGACACCCAGCACATCCCGGGGGGTTGTTCCTAGTGTCACTTCGACCTCTATCACTGCCCGAATCTCGATTTCTATCGTTGTTATCGCCATCATCTCTACCATTACTCGTGTTCGCCTTTTTCTTTTGAATATCCTCTATCGAATACTTTCGAAGTGTTGGAATATGATATTGGTAATGAAGGTAATGGCAAGGGTGAAGAGGACGTTCTGCTGTGGATCGACCTCTATGTAATTTTTTCAACGGTGAAAACTTCACGGAAAGTCCAGTCACCAAGCAATCACCTTCAATTCTCCAGCAACAGCCCCAAGACCACCATCTTCATCGGCGCTCAGTCTAAAATCAGCCTATCTATGGCGTCCCGCCAAATGCTCCTAGGCATGGTAATTAGGCATGCCCTAGTGTAATTAGCGCGCTACCAGTTCATGGCGTTTAGCTGACATCTGTAACTCCGTCTCGTAGAAAGCTCTCGGCTTGATCAAGGGTCTGCCATTCTGCTTATCAAACCACGATGTTGCTTTTGAAGAGAACTAGTGGGCAAGTTGACCTCCTGGGCCACCAGTCGTCAAAGTCATCTGCAGGCACATCACGTGTCGCTTGGAAAAGAAGTGCTGGAAGTTTTCTGCATGTGACAAAATGGGAAATCTGAGGCCACTGTACGCGATTGCTCACGAGGATATCAAGACCGGGCCAGTGAAGTAGATCATCACTGATCCTATATCATAGTCTTAAAGCGATGATTCATGTATTCTATAGTCTTCATTCACAACTGAAGTCCTGAATGCTGCAAAGATCACCCAGGTACCTTTTGCCGATGTTCGAATCCAGACTGTGGCATCAATCTTCTAGAACTTTCAATTCTCTAGCTTCTGACTTTGAGAGGATCATATGGTGCTAGCACTTCACCAGGGAATTTCCTGGCCGGTAATGACGTTGATAAACTTGCCCGACGTACTTTCGCGGGTTGCGTTGTCGATCTATCAATATCTCAGTCAGCCAACCTAATTCCTAATTACTTGAAGAGAGTCAGGAGACATCGGAACAACTTACTAAGTCTATCGTCTTCGAAGTACTCTCTTCAATCGTATGCGGTGCTTCTTTAAGCCCCATGATGCGCGCACCGATGTTACCCATCTCCGTCTGAACATGGCTACGCCTAAGGTCAGCATGTTTTGTCGACAACTATCAGCTCCAGAAGCTACTTACCCAGGGTGAATGGCAAATGCGACCAGAGAAGGGTTGCCGGCATGAATAGCTCTGCCATGAGCGAGTTGTAAGCGATTTAATTCCGGAGCTTGTCCACCATCTGACTTTGCCTAATCACTTACACGGTGAACCAATCCTGAGCGGCCTTAGACACGCCATAAGCACCAGCATAGAACGCCATGTACTTCTCGCAGTTGGTGATGGAGCCAGCACCGCTCGATACAGAAACCCACTTCGGCGAAGTGGACTTGTCGAGAAGTGGCTTGAAAGCCTGGAAGAGACGAATGGGACCCAGAGTGTTGACCTGCAGGGTGTACTCTACTGTTTCGATTTCCGCGGTGTCCAGCTTCTTGGGTGGCATGGGGCCCATACCAGCGTTGGCGATGATGAGGTCTACATATTCAATTCCAGCTGCTTCGACATCCTTGAACGCCTGCAGAGGATCGGTCGATGAAATACTGTCGATGCCGACGAGGAGAAGGCGGGAGCCTTCGGCTTTGGGAAGTTTGTCCAAGTCTTGGGATGATTGGGCTTTGGTATCCCGCACGCTACCGATGATTGTATGCTTCGGTCGAGCAAGGTACTTTTGCAGAAGTCCCTTCCCGATACCTGGCGCGCCATTAGGTTCGGGACGTCATTACCTCAACTTGATTGAGAAACAGCATCAAGACAAGGAAGAGAGCCCACCTTTATTGACTCCAGTGATGAGCACAACAGTTGAGGTAGACATTTCCTGGTCTTTTCAAATCTCAGAAGATTCAGGTAAATATGTTTCGAAGTAAAGAGTATTCAGGTTGGAAGCAGCGAGAGTGCAGGCAAAAGGGGTGTTTGGCATATAGCCTGTAATCGGATCTCTTGTGATGATAGAAAATGTTGCAGTCTATTTATAAAATCTCAAACCACTTACAAAGTATTCGAAACTACTGAGACAAAAGAAACCATCTAGTCTTTTCTTGGCTAGGTGTCGTTCGCTTTCGGAGTAAATTGCTGCCTAAGGTACATCGTAGTGAGGGGCTAACTGCATGTTTTTGTTGGAAATGCGGCACCAGAAGAATACTTGCTGCCTGTTCATCTGAAAACACATCCGAACCAGTCGTAATGAGGAAATTGGCGAGTTATGCGGGCCCCAAAACGGGTTTACTGCATTGTTGCCGCATGACCGTGGAGACAAGCTGCAGATGCGGTTTGAACGACAGTCCGGCTCGCGACCATGCACTGATGTGATCTTCGTCAACCGGCTAGATGATGTTCAACATTGCGAGCCCATGCTAGAGCCTAGATCTCTTGATCAACCAATCGCAATGACTTGATAGAGCTAAGGAAGCTTATCCCTTAAACTTCTGCCTGCCGTCTGTGGAACTCGAGAAGCTTGATTTCACGTACCTTAGGCAGCGATTTCGGTAAGGTACTCTCGTGCTGAACCTTGCGACATTGATCTCATCATCATGGAGTCCTAGGGCAAGTGATGCTAGAGAATGATAGTTGCAAATCCTATTGTATCATTAAGTGTATTACATAACAACTATCCGATGGAACCGAGAAGTCGTGTTGTGCAACCCTTTACGACCTCATGTCACTGCTCCTCTAATGCCTTATAAATGGCCCTGATGTAAGACTTCGCAGCGTTGTTTCCCAAACCCGACATGGACAGCTTATTCATCACATATGCGATGGTGATTTTCCTGTCTAGATCCATAACGACGAATGATCCACCGAGGCCTGCCCAGAAGCATATACGTCCGTTAGGCAGGAAATCAGCAACCGCCGTACCACCTTCGCCCGTAATGCCAAATCCGATACCGAAACGCATAGGCACGCCCATAACAAGATCAACCCCGTTGGATTGTTGCTCAAATATGAGGTTGATGGTGTCTTGTGAGAGGAAACGTTTGCCGTCGACGCTGCCGCCGAGACTGATGATCGAGAGAATTCGCGAGAGCGCGTAGGCATTGGCGTGCCCGCTCCCGGCGAGGATGTCGCCCTGGCGCCAGGTAGGACCGTTGGCGAAGTCTGAGGGGAAGGGCATGGGGTTCATGGTCTTGAACGTGATGGAACCCGGCTGGGGACCCATGCCGGGACCGAGGGGAGGCATAGGTGCGGAAATAACATCCGTCGTCCGGTGGAGTTCTTTGTCGGAAACGCCAAAGTGAAAGTCTGCGCCCAGTGGCTTCACGATCTCTTCCATGATGAAATCTCTTAGCGTTGTACCCGTCGCGCGACGGACGATGGCTGCTAGTAGATGGCCAAACGTGAATGAGTGATATCCAGATGCTGTGCCGGGTTCCCACCACGGTGCCTGCGTAGCTAGCTTTGCTGCAGCTGCGTCGAGGTCAGAGATTTCTTCGAAAGAGAGCGGTCCATCGGCATCCCAGCCAGAGACCCCCGACGTGTGAGAGAGGATATGGCGGATCTCGATATCTTCTTTACCATTGGCGGCGAACTCAGGCCAATGCTTCGAGACCTTGTCGTTGATCGAAAAGACTTTTTGGTCGACGAGAATGAGGATGGCGAGACTGAGGACGGTCTTGGTGGAGGAGAAGATGGTGACGAGGGTGTTTTTGGTCCATGGCTGGGTGCGTTCCTTGTCCGTGTAGCCACCCCACAGGTTTACAACATCGTTGCCATCAATGTTGACAGCAATGGCGGCGCCGACTTCTTCTCCACTGTCGATATTGTCCTGAAGTTGCTTGCGTACCTCTTGAAACCTAGGGTCGCAAGTGCCGTGCGTTTGTGTTCGTGTTTGTGTCATGATCACGAAACTGTTGACCAAGAATAAGCAGTGGACTTGGTCGAGTTGTAAGTTGGATGGTGGGGCTGGAGCTGATTGAAAAGTCGATGATGAAGGCTGATTTTACAAAACTCATAGAGTACAGCGAGACATGTTTTTTTTTTATAGTTGATATGATGCCAACGACACCTACATTGTCGGTGGTTGTTCACTCCGAGCTATCACGGCTTCAGATGCAGGCTGACAAGCGCAGGTCTTCGTTCCACCCTAGAGCGTCTCGCAGTGCAGTGTCGGTAGCTACCACTGCCGACTCCCCGGCCATCGGCGCGGCGCGTGGCGCCTGGGAAGTCGGTGCTTCACCCGCCGACTGGCCGGAGTGTGTCTGTTCTAGGGCCTGAGCAGGCACACAGGCCAGCGGTGCTTCTTGGCGCTCTGGGTGCCTCGCTGCTTACTGTCGCTAACTATTGTTGGCTTCAGGCGCAGGCCATGTGGATAACGCGCAACTTCCGAAGGGACCCGGAATTAACCTAGGTAAGAGTCTTTCCAGCTAGTGCATTGAGTATCATCTGATGACTGGTATCCATACAGAGAGTTTTCTCGAATTCCCCGGGCAAAGGTCAATGTAATGTTGCGGCGCAGAGCCGGCGGCATCAACCGAGTAACAACGGGTAGGCCTACCCTCGTTTCAACCTCCAATCGCTCAACTCTCACCCGTACCTCTGCATCATTCCGAGAAATATTGGCTTTTTCTCCCATGGGCGATGACCAAGCCGTTGGGTTTGGACTAGGTCTTACCCGGGGCGATGGGAGTTTCATGCTACTGCGATCCTTAACGTCGTTGTTTTGGCCATTGCCCTGTGGGCACTTCCAATTAGCGTTGATGACGCCGCGCCTTTGGGCTGGAATACTCTTATTCGCCTGCGAAAAGAGCTGGATTGAATTGGAGCATTGATCATTAGCACGAGCCTGGCTTTCATGTCCTATGTCCTTGGTATCTTGACAGCCTCTGACGCGGCCAAGCATATGCGTCAACGAATATGAGACCAATGAGAGTTGACCGCTGCAATGAGCCATGATGATTCATTGTGGGTATTCAGGGCTGCTAGGTATGGCAATGCTTGAATAGAGCATGTTACCCAGTACTTATTCACCTGCAGCCCCGTTTGATTTCCTACCAGGGATGACATGACAGGCTTGTAGTCAATTCCTTCTGACTTCACCTCACTCGATACCAACACATATATCACAGACCCCTTCGCATCTCCGGCGACACAGCTGCATTTTCTGCCGTTTATATACATCAAAGTCACTTCGCGAACATGAACGAACCCATCGAGATTCTGGGCCAGCAGCCCACTCTCAAAATCTACACCCAGATGGCGGTCTGCTTTTCTGTCGAAGATGACCAATCCTATGCAAACATCACCAAAACTCTGTCGAGCGGTCTTGAGCGACTTACCGCCGGGTTTCCCTGGGTTGCAGGGCAGATAATCAACGAGGGCGCGAGCGAAGGTAACACAGGCATCTTCAAGATCGCGCCACTGGAACCAACCCCGCCCTTGATTGTCAAGGATCTGAGAGAGGACCCATCAGTATCGTCGATGAAAGATATGAAAACGTCAGGCTTTCCCTTCGCCATGCTTGACGAAAGCATCGTCTGTCCTCGCCCGACTCTACCGATCGATCCCAATCTAGTAGGGAAACCTGAGCCAGTTTTCATCACCCAAGCTACATTCATCAAAGGCGGGCTCGTTCTCGCGTTCCTTGGCCACCATCAGGTGCTCGATGGAACCGGGCAAGGACAACTCATCAAACTCCTGTCCAAGGCGTGTAAGGGCGAAGACTTCACCGAAGAGGAAGTAGCAACTGGGAACCTGACACGCCAGAACGTCATTCCCCTCCTCGAGAACTTTAAGGGAGGGTCTGAGACTGATGCGATGATCATCATGCCCTCAGCAACGCCATCATCGCCACCTGCCACATGTAGCTGGGCTTACTTTGACTTTTCGTCAGATTCTCTGTCAGCTTTGAAGTCATTGGCTTCTGAGGCGGTCACGTCAGGCTACATCACAACAGACGATGCCCTTACTGCCTTCGTCTGGCAGTCAATCAGTCGCATTCGTGTGAAGCGCTTACCGAACGACGCGGCAACTAAGCTCGCTCGAGCTATCAATGTGCGAGGTTATATGGGAATCCCTCAAACGTTTCCAGCCCTCATACAAAGCATGACGAACAATTCCATGGCGATCAAGGACCTCGTCGAAAGACCACTGGGGGAAGCGGCATCTCAGCTCCGATCTGCTGTGGATCCTACAGCCTTGAGCTATGGAGTACGAGCTTTGGCGACACTCATGAACCAAGCGGCCGATAAGAGTGTCTTCTCATTCACCGGGACCCTTCATCTCGATAGAGACTTGGCCTTTAGTTCCTGGGCGAAACTCGATCTTTATGAGCACGACTTTGGATTGGGATTGGGCAAGCCTGAGTCGGTCCGGAGACCGCAATTCACACCCGTGGAGAGTCTTGGCTACCTGCTTCCCAAGGCACCAGATGGCAGCATCGCCCTAGCAATATGTTTAAGGGACGAGGACATGAATGGGTTAAAGAAGGATGAATTATGGTTGAAGTATTCAAAGTACATAGGAAAGTAATTATCGGGCATTCCAGGCCCTTCAACGACTGCCATTCAGTTCCCCCTAATCTTGATCTGATACCACAGGAGCAACTACCCCTCGTAGACGTAGCAAAATGGAGAGCCACCGATTCCAATCGTGCTCATAAGGTCCCTCAGCTTTCTTGGCTCAGCCAAAGGCCGAAGATCAACCAAGTCGTCCAAAGTGCCGTTGCGGCTCGGGGGAATATTTTGCATCGTGACAGTACCAAAGATATCCTGCCTGTTCTCCCAGTCAAGCATCTGCCAGATCCAATAGACACGGTCGATCTGGCTGTGGTGCAGGAAGAATGCTGGGTCAGCCGGAGAGATGAAGAAGTTGTTGCCAGAGTCGCCTCCGAGCTGCCAGTGGCCAGCCGCATGAACTCCTAGCTCAAAGGGGTTGATGTAACGATCATCACCATTCAAAAGGCCCCAGAACGACTCGAGAGTGTTGTGCTCAGTCAGAAGGAGCGTCGTGTTCCGAAATGTGGTGTGTCGAGAAGAGACGTGCTTGTTCAGGTCTCGCTGCAGGCAGCGCGGGTCAGCGGCGAGAGGAGTGTCTGTGTTCTGAACGACGGGGAGGTTGACCGTCATTTTGGAGAAGGGGCCCGACATGACACACCCACCACCAGACCCGGGCTCGAGCTTGAGGGTTACGTTGGTGTAAGCCTGGTGAATTTCGAGGCCTTCATGAGGAACAAAGGCGCCGTTGCTGCCGATGGAAGTGTCCGATCCGTCAAAGAGAGGTGACAGCGTAGGGTCTTCCGCATCATAACCCCATTCCCAGAAGGGAAACGTACCTAAGATTGTGTCAGATGTATACTGACAGATGGTCAGGCAATAAGCCACAAATGCTTACCAGTATAACCGCATTCGCGGACCTTTTGCTCAAACACGTCTGTGTACAGGCGATGCCAGAGCTGGAAATTAGCCTAGGCAGAAGAACAAGAGAAACGTTAGCTCTCGGCACAACATCGTTTTTCTTACACCAAACTTGCGCTCTTACCGTTCTGTGAATGACAGGAGTCTGCTTGAGGTGGATAGCCACAAAGTCATCATATAAAGTCTTTGCAGCAGGCATCACTCCCGGCTCATACAAGCTCGGGGAACTCTGCATACACTCAATAGCAGCTACAAAGGCTCTCCTCTGCTCGGCAGGGAGTGTTCTCCATTCTCGGCGGACGCGGACCTTGTCCGGCGTGCATGTTGAGTTTGCAAATGCACCCGAACGTTGGTGCAATTCTTTAGAGTTAGCCAGAGCCTTGGCAGCAAGTTGAGCAAGGGCGTCGCCGTTGTTGATGGCCTCTTGGGTAAAGTTGTAAGATGGTGCCGCGGCGTTGATGGGGAGCAAGAAGGAAGTGGCAAATAAAAGCACCGAAAAGGCGCTGAGAAGAGAAGGACTCATGGTGGGAAAAGAGTGGACGCCGAAAAGTGCTCGACTGCAAGAAGTTCAATGGCCTCTAAGCGCGGTCAATAATTGATTATTAGGCTGGTTGATGAAAGATGGCACGTATAATAGAGCGGACTCCAAGGTTCTTAAGTTCAACAAGATGACAGCAAAACTGTATAAAACCTCCCGATATCAAGTGCCCGTGGGTCCAAGGAAATCCATCCGTTTGGGATATGACCGGTTGCAGTTGCGGTGACAGCATCATCCTGGGCCAGGGTCATGAATCTCGTGGCGTACTATACTAGTCTTTGGAGATGCAAATTGCAACATCGCTTAAAGGATCCCGACTCAGAGTACGAAAGCGAGGATTGCGCGTGGGTTCTAGCATGGAACCTTGTTATCTGGGGCACCACCCTCAAGCCTGGTCAAGCGCGCCGAACAGCCGCAATGACACAGCCAAGTTCACGGCTTGAATTTACGGAACCTTTTTTGTCAGCGTGGTCTAAGGTAGTGACTCGCGAGTGAACATAGACTGCATTATACTTGTCCAGGGTTCTAGTCCTCATAGAGCAGGTCAGAGTTGAAACCCAGGCTCTCAAAATAACCTTAATTTCATCGCTAAGGCTCTTGGGTGTAATTCCTGATGCAAGGTCACCTTCAATTGCAAACAAGCATTTTAGCAGCCGAGAAGTATTGGCACCTATATCAGGTTTGTGAAACTGGAGTTGATAGAATAAGCTCTGTGATGGTCGGGAGCTTTTCGGTTCCGCAGCTCGGGGTCACCAATGCTTCTTAGCATTTTGAGTTGCACCCAAGTGGGGAAGCAATCTATGTGAGTATTATCACCATGACCTATAGGAAAGCTAGTCATATTGTTAAAAATGACTTTCCATATGGATAGCTCCATCCCTGACACAGATCGCCTTGTTTAGGGCTAAGCGCCAGGTCTTTCCTATAAGTTGATTTCTAGGCAGTCAAGTCCGCCGAATAAGAGACTAGCTTGGCTATCGCTTAGTCCAGTCTCGCCAACCTCCGAATACAGTGGCACTGCAGGCTAAGTTCCTGACGCTTCCATGCTCGCTTGACAAGATTTTATGTGGGCTGGAGACATGATGGTCGCAATGGAGACTTCAGCTTCACAAGTTTTCTGAGGACTTATCCAAAGCTCTCTGGCTCGTTCTCATTGTCAGGATACGAGTCACAAGGTAGCATGGTGCAACATCATCATATTTGACTGACTCATTGATCACGTATACGTTGGAGGATCTATCATGGGAACTTTGGTACAGTAGCCAGGAGATAAGAGTGCTTCAACTCGCGCTATGAGTGGCTCACCTGAAGGAGGGTATGGATGTCCGTGTAATGAAACTGCAAACTCCCTACTCTATCCCTTTACTCCTAATCACTGCTGAGTGACACTTCTTCAACCCCCCAGAAAGAAGTTCTTTCTTCTTGTTCATTACTTCACAAGCAAACTGAATAAACATTTACGAAGTGAAATATCAGCATAATCGCGTTATCAACCCAAATAGAACGAAAAGAAAAGCATAAGATTCGGAACTTCATATTTGAAACGGTTCGCTCAGCCTGCAAACTCCTGGCATCGTCGCCATTCTAACTCCTCACTCTAGCGCTTTCCCATGCCGCACCTAGCCAAGCACTCTTCGGATCCGAGGGCAGCTCCGGTACCCACACCAGGAACGCGATTTCCACCTCCTTCGCTACTCTTCGATCCCGAAATGCCTCCGAAGGCAGCCTGAACCATGTCATTGGGCAACTTGAAAAGGCCGTTGAGTATACTCAAGGTGCCCGTATCATCGGAGTCAAGGGCTGAAATAAGCGTGGCATAGCCGCACCCTGCAAGAAGGGGTTACAATTAGCCAAGAGCTTATTCGTGCCGCCCCGTCACAAACCATAAATATTCCTGTTCTACGTGGGGTGGAGACTGCCCCTGGGGAAGATGGTCAGCTGTCCTGGGTTGAGTGTCGTAGTGGCTGGGTCAGCACCATTCTCTTGAATCATCCATGTCTGAGTCTGGACTTCAACAGCGACCACAAAATTGGTGGCACGGGGGTGGTAGTGAGGCGGCAACATAGCACAGAGCCCAAGAGCGAGCCAGGTGACAGTCAGCCCATGACCAGTTGCCGCGGAGAAGTTGCTGCGTTTGCGTTCACGACGCCGCCGGGCGAGTATGTGAAGTACTCGTGTTTCTTGAAGTCAAATGCATAGTCATTTTTGACGAGCTGCAACTTGTCGAGCTCAGTAGCCGTTTTCTTTTCTAGCTTTGTGTTGATATCACGGCTCACTGGCTTGTCTACTGCAAGGGCAATACCCGCAACGAAAGAAATGTAGAAGATAATGATCAACATTGTGCTAGAATGCAGCGTGAAGGATATTGTTGGCACCTTTGAGACAGGTATTTTATGAAGTAGAACGAAGCTGTAGAGTATTTCACATTTGAGACACTGTCAATATTCTCGATAGTCAACATCTATTTTATACTTCCCAGAAATGCAGAAACTTATGAAGATTGCTCAGCTTAATGTTCGCCCCCAACTGAAGGATCATCTCAAAAATGCCAGACGAGTGAGGCTGGAGGAGCCATCGACGTCAATTGCAGGCACAGGTACTAAGTGGGAGCTAAAGAGGAGTTGATAAATTAACCGTGCGTCCTATTATATCGAGGCATGCAGATGCTACGCTGTCATAAAGATCTTTCAGGAGTCGGGTGAGATATTAGTGTGGTGTGTTTCTCTATCGCCGAGATCAACTTATCATCCTCCTAGGCTCAGGCCCTCAACTCCTTGCACATCAGCGCGAGGATAGCCTAGCGGGCTAGGAAGTGCGGTCGCACTTATCACATTGTCTACTCAATTGATCTATGGAAACTACAAAATTTCATGATACTTGGCGATATTGACATTATGGAGGATGAATGCGCATCCCCTGCCTCTGATGCTATCAGTCAAAAACGATTTCAGAGGCTGAGACAGGAACCATGTGTGGCACCAAGTTACAATTAAGTAGGGGCTAAGGCACCCCTCCAGGCCGGTGGTCGAGGATAATGTGCTGGGATTGGGCCATCAAATACTTGCAGTCATCTTGCGGCTTGCTCCTCTGCTAGACTCAATTGGAGCGTTCGTCTTGAAGTTCACCCATGACGAGACTATGGACGAGCTGGCCTTCGGTTGGTGGTTGTCCTACGAGCCTTGTAGACTTTGAAATCATTGTTCATCTCGGAGGACTACAGGATGGGGTACGGCCCAGGAAAGCCCGAGACAAGCGCCCTCTCTAGAATTTTTATATGGCTTCCCGAAGTTTGGCCGCCTCGCCGCACCTAGGTATTCGCTTGTTTCTCGTGTTTGAAAGGCCTAAATTTGCGATCGGTTTGGTCTTGGGCCGTTTCCGCCGGTGCAAACAGATCGACCCCGGGGCTAAACTGTTTGTGACTAAGGCCCCCGACAAAGACCAGTCATCAACTTGGGAGCTGGCGCCTCTTTCCATTGTCTGGTCTGATCCCCAGAAAATCCACAAATCCAAATGGCCCCGTGGAGAAGCTTGTTCAGATCATGTTCAAAGATCAAAGAGATGACGGGCGGCCCTACCGAACCCTTACCGCTCTCGTGGAGGCGAATGGGTCTAGGTGCAACACCAGGAATAGACGTCCTAGTCTCTTCGTCGACATATAAACCTACATGGCACGGAGAGCTGGACCACGAATCTCATCTTTCGAGGCAAGCTCACTCACATTCATTGATAACATGTGGTCAAATATCATTCTTTCTTTGGCTCTTGGCAGCATTCACCCAACCGTGGCTAAGCCGTTGCCCGAAGCAGCAACCAAACCCGGCACATCGAACAACACAGTCCAGGGGTGTCTCAACGCCGCCAAGGCACCAGTTGTCGTATCCTCATCCTCAGATTGGTCCGACGATATCCGGCCCTACAACTCTCGTTTGCAATACACACCAGCTGTTGTAGTAACGGCTACCGATGTCAGCCATGTGCAGGCCGCCGTGAAGTGCGGAGCGCAGTATAATCTCAAGGTCACAGCCCGAGGCGGCGGTCACAGCTACTCTTCGGCCGGACTCGGCGGCGAAAACGGCCATGTGGTTGTTTGGCTCGACGAGATGTACGGCGTGACGTTGAATTCCGATAACACTGCGACGGTGCAAGCGGGCGCGAGACTTGGCCACATCGCGACGGAGCTGTTTAATCAGGGAGGCCGGGCCATCTCACATGGATCATGTCCTGGGTAAGCATCAAAGTACATTGGTCAGTTGTGGAAGAGGCTAACACCAAATTGGCAGTGTTGGTATGGGACATGTCTTGCATGGAGGCTTCGGCTTTTCATCTTCCATGTACGGCCTTGCGCAAGATTGGATCGCTGAGGCGACCGTAGTCACGGCCGACGGAAAGGTCGTCAAAGCATCGCAGACCCAAAATACGGATCTCTTTTGGGCCCTTCGTGGCGCGGGGTCGTCTTTCGGCATCGTTACAGAGTTCAAGTTCAACACCTTCGCAGCTCCATCAGTTGTCACATGGTTCAAGGTCTCATCACCATTTAAGAAGGACAAGCTGGCTTCGGCTCTCGTGGCTCTCCAAAAGTATGCCCAGAACGACAAGCCTATTGAGTTAAATATGCGGGCCGTCGTCACCGCCGACAGCACCGCGTTTGATGGCCTCTACTACGGGACCGCAGACCAGACACGCGTTGTGCTCAAGAAGTTCCTCTCACCCCTGGGTATCGACGTCGGTGGCGCAACCATTACCCAGACTGACTGGATCGGCCAGCTGGAGCACTACGCCGGCTCAGCGGCCCTTGATGAGACCGGACCGCAGAGCCTATCCGATACTTTCTACGCCTCGAGTCTCATGACCAAGACGGTCTCGACTGCGGGCTTCGCTGCCTTTGCCGATTACTACCAGAACACAGCAAAGTCGACGGACAGCGGCTGGTTCGTCCTCATCGATGTCCATGGTGGCAAAACCAAGACAGCCCAGGTTTCAAACTCAGCGACAGCTTACGCCCATCGTGATAAGGTGCTCATGTGGCAGTTCTATGACTCTTCTGGAAGTTCTGCGTACCCAAAGTCCGGATACAAATTCCTCAGCAAATGGATGGCATCAGTAACAAACACCATGGCAACTAATGAGTGGGGTCGCTACGTGAATTATGCCGACTCCCAGCTCAGCAATGCGGATGCACAAGATCAGTACTACCGGGATAATCTGGGGCGTTTGAAGGCTATCAAGGCTAAGCTTGATCCCAAGAATTTGTTCACCTACCCGCAGGGGGTGGGCTCATAAGTCATGTGCACACATGTAACTACCTAGCCTATTTACTGTCACATTAGTTCCACGCTGGGGCGTGTATGAGAATTGTTTTAATGAGACAAAAAAGCGTGGATCATTAGCATCAAGCACTGAAATATCATGATGTAGTTTTTGGTATTAGTCATTTAGGCAGCTCTCGTCGGAGTTCTCGTCGGACGTATTACATAGTCCATGTTCCGGTTTACTCCCCCAGCTCTTTTCGATTCTTCTGATTTGAAGCTGAGATTGACCTGTGCCATGTGTGCCGGAGACAGATCGTTCTCGCTGAAGAACATTTGCAGATCGTTGAGCGACTCATCCCCCTCTCCCACAGCCGACTTTGTCCCACCGGTGCACAAAAGTGCCATGCGTTCAACGGCTTTCAAGTGCTTTTCGGCTACGTCAGGTTCTCCAACCAAATTCTGGAACAATTTGTGTTAGCACGTCATGATCATACTCACTTGATACTGGGCATGTGATCTTGAACCCTGGGGATATAGTGATCTCTTACAGCGTCTGATGCCAAGCAAAGGCTCTTGGCCATGGTGAGGTTACTGATATTGTTTCCCTCTCTGGTGATTGTTGCGTTGAGCTGGCGTATGGTCTCCATCTTATACATCGTCATCACAGGGTCATTATAGCCCTCCTCTCGTACAGTGGCAAGGTGTCGCATAGACCAGAGCAGTACCAAAGAAAGCATTCCCGGATCGGCGAGGGCTGACTGCACCCAGTAGGTCGTCATCATCTTGCAGAATGCCGTTCGTTCACCTTGCACCATCACTTCCATCTCTGGCAAACGGATCAACTCTAGTAACGCCATGCTGCGTAGGACTGCATACAGACATAGTCAGCTTGTAGCCTTGGCACAATCAAGAAAAACAGCATGCTCTTTCCGAGGTATGAGCTGCAGTCTGTGCATGCAAGCAACGGGAAGGGCGGGAGGGAACAGGGAAAGGTTCCTTTATACCGCAGCCCGCCCTTTTATACTTGCAAGGTTGACTGCAGTCACGGCCCGCAACTTCTACAGGCTGATGTACATTATCAGTCAAGCTTTCAGGTCTCATACTCACAGTGGTCAAGAAGTCCTTGCTCCTGGATAGTGACCCTCCTGACGAAGGCGTTGAATGGATCCGTTCTAGCGGCGCCGAGCATTGAAACGGGGCTGCCGGCGAGAAGGGGGGTGTGGCCAGAACGCGAGCCGTTTTTCAGGGTCGTGACAAGCCACAACCTCACAGACTGAATCGATGGGCGAGCCGGGGAATCTTCGATTTGGCTTTGCTCAGGAGGTGTGGTTGACTTCTGATAGGCGGCCACCCGCTGCTGACGGGCTTTTGGATTCCGTGCGGCGTGCGATCTGACCTTTTTCTTCCAGGCCTTGGTCTCGCTTGGATGGGTGATGGGCACAAAAAGGAACCCTTCCTCCCGGCTCCTGCCGCCGCCCTTGCTCGCGGGCGGCATCGCGGGTGAAGCCGTGGACCACTGTCGTCGAGAGGCGAACGAGTAAGGGCTGGACGTTGAACGACCTCGGATGGCGTACCCTTCGTACCCCTTCCCGGTTCACCTCGAAAATGGAGTCAAGGACCTTCGTTACCGAATAGCAAGGCGGCGAGAGAAACCCGCTAATCGAACTGAACCGTAGGGCCGGGACGAGAGGTACGAGATGGGTGACTTGAGCAAGCTTCAGTGGCTCGGGAGACGTCCGTGATGATCTGGGGACAAGGTTGGCATTTGCCTATTCCAGCAAACGCTCGGGTCACACAAGGGTTCCTGGTGCACGAGATGAGAGGAGTGAAATCCTGACTGACGGGAAGGGTGTGTGGCAGAATCGAAAGAGGAGGATGTCTGAAGAATGCCAGAAAGCTGACTGTGTTGTCGACATCTGGCTTCGTCTCCGGCCCCCCTCCTCATCTTCTCCCGCTGCCTCCTCCCCTCCACCGCGTGCGGTCTTTGAACGAATGGACAGCCCTCGACTCCCTTTGCTTGTTGGTTCCAGGTTGGTTCTGGCCATGACGCAGAACTTGACCAATCATGTATCTCGCCTCTTCAGCCCAACCCCGGCAACAAACAGCAGCCGGTGGATAGTGTCTACACTCTCCACGAATCAGGATCTCAAATTATCCAAACGTCCCAACGATGGTGGGGAATGCCAAGGCCAGCATTGTCCCGAATCGGACGAGACCCAAGGGGCAGCGGCTCCATCCGAATCCCCAGTCGTCTCCGCTCCCGTCGGGCTCGGCACCGGTCTACGGGCTGATTACATGAGCAAACGTGTGATAAGTTTCCGAGAAGGGAGACGTTGGCCTGATTGTGCCTAGCAAGGATACAGTGACGCGGCACGCCAGATCGATGAATCCTTCGCGCTGAAGATAATAAGTACAACGGCGAAGACAGGAGAAAACATCGTACAGAGTCCCTGGTCGAGATAAAGTGATTCGATCACAAAATTCCCGAACTACAACAAGTTGAAGAGAAAAAAGCAGCTCAAGATGTCTGGAAAGTGGGACCCCCTCACTGATATGCCCAACCTCGAAGGTAAAGTGATTGTTGTTACCGGTGGGAAGTATGTTGTGGACCCAACCGAATAAAAGCAAGCAATTCTTTTGACACACCTGCAGTGCAGGCATTGGCTTGTCAACCGTCAAGTACCTCGCCCTTCGAGGTGCCAAGGTTTACTTCACAGCAAGATCGAAGGCCAAAGCCGACGAGACTCGCACAGTACTGACGGCCGAAAATCCTGCGATAAATACCGCCAACCTCCACTGGCTCCCCTTGGACTTGGCAGACCTCAAGTCGGTCGCCTCCGCTGTTGAAGAGCTGAAGAGCAAGGAGACCAGGGTGGACATTCTTAGTGAGTCGTCTTTGTGTTTATCAAGAGTTGAGGGCAGAAATATGCTGATAGGATACCCCTCAAAGTAAACAATGCCGGTCTAGCCTCCGGCACAACGGAGACGATGGGTCCTGGGTGGGAATGGCACATGGGGGTCAAGTAAGTGCTCGTCAAACCCACGTGGACATGTTTGCTAATATTTCGTGTAACTAGCCACGTCGGGCACTTTGTTCTCACCAACGGCGTACTGCCGCTTCTCAAGGAAGCCACAAAGCAACCCGGGGCCGACGTCCGTATCATCACTCTCAGCTCCAACGTCAACTATGCCATGCTGCCATCAAACTACGGCTTCACCTTTGATTCCGCTTCTTTCTTGACGAAGCCTGTGCCTTATTACCCGTGGCAATGGCGCTATATCATTAGCCGTATTTTTGTGGTCGACATGATTCGCTACGCTGTCTCTAAGGTCGCCAATCTCCTTTTCGCCCAAGAGCTGCAGCGAATTCTGGATGAGCAAAGTCTCCCGATCCTGTCCATCTCAGTGCACCCCGGTGGCGTGGCCAGCCCCGGTAGCAAGGACATTGGAAACTCCCTCTTCTCCCTTGTTAGATCGGCCGCCTTCCTCACCGTCGACCAAGGCGCCATCACATCCGTCTTTGCGGCCACTGCCGCCGAGGTTCGCGAGAACGCAGACAAGTACAAGGGTAGGTACCTAGAGCCGTTCGGGAAGATCGTGACACCGAATCCGGTCGCCAAGAACGAGAAGCAGGTGAGGGGTATGTGGGAGCACACCACAGTCGAGGCGAACAAGTACCTGGCGACGCTCGGCCTCGCACCCCTTCAAGAATGGTAGTCGCGACGAGATGATGGCAGACGAGGTTTGCCCAGGCTTCCATACGAATGTTCTCATCTATCCTATTCTCGATGCACACAAATACTCGATCAATCAATAGAACACGGTAGTATATCAAATTTGGTTCGAAGCCCTCAGGGGGCTTGCGGTTACGGAGTATACAGGACCCGTTTCCAGGTGCATGGGATAGCATTCTCCGAAGAGGTGTGAAGCCGGTTGATATCATCTCGAAGGCACCAACGCGCGCACCCACTCTTCAGAAATGAGGTTCAGCATCCTTTCAGAGCATCAAGAAAGTTGAGAAAGAAATAATGACGTTTAGCAGCTTCCAGTAATAATTACATGACGTTTCACCAAGGATAATCTCCCGCGATTCCTGCAATCTCACAGCAGGATGCATGTTTAGTGCCTGGGCCATCACAATATGCCACGATGATCCCAATGTTAACTGCTTTCCAGGCCAGTGTCCCACTGCTCGCAGATGCCTGTATCCCACGTGTTGAGACTGCCAGTGATCACACATCGAGACGGTCCGGCCCCGTCAGGTGAGTCGGCAAAGGCAGAATTCTTCCTCAAGGCGTCAGTGCGCCGAGCATTAGTTTGCTCCCAGCCCGAGGCACTAGGTTGAAAATGGTGAGCTATGTTGGTCTAATTCGGGATTGCTAATTTTGTTCTGCCCGTGGCTCCTCTTGAAGAATTGCAGAGGGCGGTCTTGTGGCGGCCTCTTGTCGATTGGCGCCGAGATAAGCTGTGCCGTAATCTTCTTTTCATGTTCCGAACAGGAATCCTCATCGTCGTTTCTTCACTCGGAGACTGAATCGACGATGAAGTTGAGGGTGCGAAACGACCTACAAGATGGAAAACATGTTGTTTACATCTATCCGTACTCGTTGTTAAGATTTTCTCTTCCCGCACAAAGACCGAAGGGCCATAGCATATCGCGCTCCATAAACACGAGTCTGCACGTACACCCTCAAGCAAGCTATGAAGACTTTGCACACTGTAGTGCCTTGGAAGTCGCTGCTAGCTCCCGCCCATTGATGCGGCACTCGGTGAGGTCTCTTTTTGATCTGCTGTTCTTTCGCGTGGCGCCGAAGGGGAGGAGGCGCAAAACGTCACTCGTGAAACCATGGTGGCTTGTCGATGCTCATGACAACGGCCGTGATGCATGGGCATAGAATACTTTCGGGTCTGTGTAGAAAAGTCAATGGCCTCCCGCCACGCGACGCGCTTTCGTCGTGATGTTTGATGGTCTTCTTTTCCGCAAAAAAATATTCTTCTTTCTTCGCGCCCAGCGCTTTTCAGTTCTTTGCTGTCGACATTGAGTGTCGACATGATTCATCAATAACATTTTCTACGCCTTTTCCAGTTCTATACGTCAAACATGAATAGCGAACTCGCCAACGGGTCGGATCTGCAGGTCGTCAGAACGGGAGGTGGTACCGGTGACAAGAGGAGTTTGGTGACGGTGGTTTGGGCGGTCAACCTCACGGCTTTCGTCCTCGTCGGAATAATAGTGCCTTTGCGGATTATCGTTCGCTGCACTGTAACACGGAATTTCTTCAGCGACGATGTACTTGTTATCATTTCTGCCCTCTTCACTTTTGCAGTATGCGCACTGCTTCCTATAGGTATGTTCTCATCCGTCAGAGATAAAATCAAGTCTGTTACTTACAAAGATGCCAGCGACCGACCTAGGACTTGGTCAGCACTCCTGGAATCTCGATGCTGAATTCCTTCCTGATAACACCAAGAGTTTACTCCAGGTATGGACCGTGAAGCGAACGCACTAGGAAGACAATCTCTGTGGGAAAGAAATGACTGACCGGCCTTGTAGCTCATCTTCATTGCAAATACTTTGTATCCTTGCGCAATCGCGTTCACTCGTCTCTCAGCCATCAGCTCTTTTCTCAGACTCATAACACATAAAAGCGCTCGCTGGATCATGTATGGTGCAGCGTTCGTCACGGGGGGATTCTGCTTGGCATCCGTGTTTGCCGTCATCTTCCAATGCAAGCCCATCACGGCGGCATGGGATTCGTCGACCGGCAACGCTACTTGCTACCCTTTTATTGACTTTCTTCATGCCAGCGCGGCGTTGAACATTGCAATCGACATGCTGCTGTGCACCGTGCCCTTGCCGTATATATGGAACATGAAAATGACAACGGGCAAGAAAGTTCTGCTCACGATTCTCTTTGCCTTTTCTGGACTGTGAGTTTTGATAGGATAGTGTTGGACGGAGAGGAACGTTTGAACTAACAAGAGACTCAGCTCATGTGCTGCGGCAATCCTCAAGCTTGTCAACCTAGAGCCTCTGAACGACTCTGACTTGCCCTGTAAGTTTTTCTTGCATCACAAAATAGAGAGAATTCAGACATTGACCACTGTCACAGACAACTGGGTCTCCTGGGTGCTCTGTTCTATCGCAGAGTGCACCATTGGCATCGTCTGCATGTCAATACCGCCGATCATTCCTCTGTTCACCAAGTGCTCCTGCAACAAGCCGCCGACGCCTCAAAAGGAAAGAAGCAAGTCATTGCGGTATACCTTGTTTGCTGAAAAGCCAACCTTCAGCCGTGCTGTGGCACCGCGAGTCATAAGGCCGATGGCAACACCGTGGAAGGATCAACCGCTCGAGAGGACCGTCAACCCGGACTTCAAGCCAGATTTTCACTGGCTCAGGCTGGAGCAGCAAGAGTATGGACGTTGTTGGGACAGAACGCCTCAGTCTACTAAGGTGGATCAGGTTCTTGGGATTGCGTTGTAGAAAGTTTCTTCTACTACCATGCGTCACTTTCGTTTATTACAGTTTCGAGATATTCAGCGAATGAGTTTGAGAGATTCCCACGTAGACGTACGAATATATCCAGATTGGTGAACGGATAAAAGACTGTTGCGAACGGACTTGGTATAAAACAAGACAGCCATCAACATGGATCTATCGATCGAATATCACAAGTGCCATCGTACAGTAACCTGAGTCGGTAAGTAATTTGTGATCAGGGCCGTGCAGTATCTCTAATCCACCCGAGACCACTGGGTTATCAACTGCCGAGCCGCAATAGGGGGCAGACTTCACCGAAGATCTCCCATATCGACTCGCACGCCCGTCAACCAGCCAGCTGGTGATGGTCCTGGCACCGGAGCATCGCCGGTGCTCAAAAGCATATCGCATATGATTGGGTGAGTGTCGTTGTAGCCAATGGGGATTCCATCCGCGACCGGCGGCCGCTGGTCTTCAAGAGTACGTAGGCAGTCACAACTCCGCCTTATATCCCCGGGGCTGGGTCTTGAAGTCGTCCGTCCACGACTATACGGTCAAAGCTTTTGAAACCCAAGCACCTGCCATGGGGTGATCTTCGAAGCTTCTGCGGAATCCACGGGAGCCAGCAAAGATCCGGGCGTGGTCTGGACTCATGTCGACATGGTCTCATGCCTGTCCCGTTTGCTCGTGGTCGAACCATCCGGTGGTCGAGGCGGTTCAAAGCCGGGAGAAGGGCTGACAGCTATGGTGTGTTTGCTACTGACTCTTGTAAGATTGCGGATCCGCGGGCCCCGTTTCAAGCTGTCTGGGAGGATTTGACAGACGGACTAGGTATGCGGCAATGAGGATCTTGAACTGCACAGATATCCGTGGCATTTTCCATGGAGGCGACCTCGGAAGTCGGAGCATGAAAGCTCTCACTGCCACTTAGACTAAGATATCTCGTCCCCATGACCCAATAAATACGAGGAGTAATTAGAATGATGTGCCGGTGTCAACTAACTAGATATGTTTTGGTATTCGAGGCATCATACTAACATTAGTTCGAGACAGATCTCTCACAATGCGACTTTGGAATGAAATGCTGTACACGTAAAGCCGGAAGAAATTCCGCCACCTACCAGGAACCCGAGCCTTCAATTGAGATCTAATATGATCTAGCAGGGAAGGGACTCGTAAGTACGGGTTCGACCTTCGGAAAACCGATATTTAGGTTGATCTAAAAGAGCCTAGCCTTGCACTACAAACCAACTGACAGAGGCGAAAGCTATCCGTACGGTCGTACCAAGTGCTTTTCCTGGGGTTTTCTGAAACTACCAAACTCAGCTCTCCACCTCGGGCGACGCCCCTGCTTCATTCCATCTACTCCGTACGCCGTGGGCAGCAGGGCCAGACGATGGCACGAACACCACATCAAGCAACAAGGGGAACACACGGGATAAGAAACTAGGGCCCGCGTCTATCTCAGCCCCATCAAAAGCCCCAGCCGACTCCGAAGAGCCGTCAACCTGGTATCCGAACCTCAAATCATGACGTGCAGCGGCGACACAGCCAGGCAGCATCCAAGGACGACTCAGAAAAGTGCTGCCACTTCGAATCAACACGATCCGAATCGAAACTCAAAATCCATAAAAGGTCACACCAACTTCGGCTGCAGTTGTTGCCCGCGCCCGTCCGCCACCTGGCTCCATCACCTCTCCCGTTCTAGCGCGTGGGCTTAAAGAGCAGCAAATCGAGTGGAATAACTAGGCAAGGAAGCCATTACCACCAGAACCAGAATCTCCGGCACTGACCGCCCAGGCGTCGTCTGACCCAAGCGCCGGGGAAATGCTGCTTCTGCGGAGTTAGCGCCTGTATAGCGCCGGCGACCATTGGAACAGAGTTCGCCCGTGGTTTGATATGTTCATTCCCAAGTTATTTAAAGGGGGTAAAATCTGCCGATTAGGAATCAACATTAAACAAATCCTGCGCGCCGTGACGCTAGAATTCGCTTGGAATCTACGTTTAAGGGTTCTAGAAAGGAAGCTGAACGCAAGTGGAAAGGTAGAAAACCTTCGCCCTCGGTTACAACATACCTTGAGACATTGAATCTCTATGGAATAGATGCTGTCTTACTGCATCTTTGTGTTCATTTGGAAACTGCCGACACCATCTCCTGTTGATTCAACTTGGTCAGTCGGGCAGTGCCGGCCTCTCTCGCATCCTCTTCTAACCACATCCCCAAACACGAAGTGAAGTCATGACTTTGCCTAATTAACCCCCCGTCGCGAGTCATTGGACAGGCTGACAATTCGACGTCCGGTCAGACCTCTTCAGAGGATTTAGCCTGCCTTTATCCGCTCCGCTACCCGACATGGGAACAATTTAGTGTCCGTCCAAAGGTGTGGACGCACCCAGTGAGCAACGAGCTGCCCCTGAGGCGCCCGAGCGGCATCAGATTCGCCGACAGGTAGCGTCCGAATTTCTCTGTGGCTAGAACTCGCTGTCTCTCACCCTCCCTCTCATGTCTGTACTGTCTGTCTTTCTGTGTCTGCTCATCTCTCGAACGAAAATGGCCAAAGGGTGGTGGGGGGCTTCATAGGCGAGGGACCCCCTTTTGGCATGTCGCTGATCGCAAGTTTCCCATCCCCGCACTGACAGGGCCTAAAATGTGATAAAGCTCCTAAAGAGTGGTCCTTTCATCGGGGAGGTCTTCCCGATTCATCGCCCCCAACGCGACCCTACCAACTCGGCCGTACGACGCCCTTTCGGCTTAGCTTCCAGCCATTCTAGGTATTGTATTCGCTGCTTACTCTTTCTTCAGCAAGAAGCTCTAGCTGATCCAAGAGGGTTTGGTAGATCTTAAGTGACAATCTCACACAAGTTACATAATAGTAAGAAGTACGGGAGGGCGTTCGGCGCCGGCCTACACAGCCACTACCATTGTACGGCTCTACTAAACGACTTAGAGTGTTTCTAGACGCATTGACAGTCCTTCTTCTGGTCCAAACTATCGTCGGCCAGGGTTCATGCAGAAGCGTGTGTCAGGAAAAGCCCACCCGCCATGTGGGTTCCCCTTGCACCATGCTTCACGTACTTCGTACCTTCTTTTTTTCTCCTTCCTGCAGCGGGCAGCAGTTCTGACCCCTCGGTGGACTAGCCCGCTTTTGCTCTTTTCGCCCGGAAGTCTGCCGCGTCGATGCAGAGACAAGCGCAGGTATCTGTGGGTGTGGTGGGTGTGTCACTGTGGGTTGGCCATGGTGAAAGATGGGCTCGCGCACTCGCGCGATAGAGGTCTTGGCCACCGGGTGGGATTCGAGGAACTGTGAGTGGGAGAGGGGAAGGGGTCCAATGCTGCCCACTGCGTAGCCTTCTTAATTCGTTCCAGTCTCTTTTTCTCATAGAAGGAGGTAGGTCGGATAAAGGGCCTTGCTTCATATTAAAGAAGACCGGCGGGTCGCACAAACATCCTGGAGAATGGAGATGCCCTTTTCCTTCCCCCTTCGCTTCTTCGCTTTTTGCTACTGGCTTTTTCCTGGGTTTAATTACTTGTTTCCCTTCATGATTTCCCCCAGGGTATCTAGGAGATGACCACATATCCGAGGCGGTATGGCCGGCGCTCGCTATTACTGCTCCTGCTGTGGTGTATTGCTTCGGTAGTTGAGGCTCAGAGCGTCGCCGGCCTGCTCACACAAATCCCTAATTGCGCAGTAAGTCAACACCAACGTCAAGTTTCTGTCGTTTGCTCAACTCTGTTGTTTGCTTTTTGTACTTGCATGCCCTTGCATTCCCGGCATGGGGCCTTGTCAAATATTCTCCGAGCCGTATGGAGTACAGTAGGGCTGACTTGTCATGTTTGTTGCGATAGCTTCCATGCATTACACAAGGTCTACAAGAGGGCAACTGCAGCTTGGCATCGGTTGCGACTGTGACCGAATGTCTCTGTCCCAATATCAAACTGCAGTCAGATTTGTCAACGTGTGTGCAACTCAAATGTCACCTCGAAGACCAAGCTCGTAGGTTTTCTGCAAGTATCGACACGATATTCGCATACTGATGACTGCCAGGCGCCGCCAAGCTCGAGACAAGTCTTTGCGATGCGTATCCCAAAGAGTCTAGGAGTAATGAAGTCAAGACTATCGCCATCGCGCTGTCAGTCATCACATTTCCCGTTGTTGCGTTGCGGTGCATATCAAGATGGAAGATCACCAACAAGTTGTGGTGGGATGACTGGACAGCCATCTTCGCAACAGTGAGTGAACTCTTCGCAACACCAAAGACGAAAGCTGACGAGAAATCAGATGTTGCTAGCTGGCTTGGCCGGCATCGAAATTGCGAGTGCCGACCTAGGATTCGGAACTCACTACTGGAACATTGAACTCGATGCTGGAACGAAACTACTCAAGCTTTTCTACGCCGTTCAGCAACTCTACATCATGATTCAAGTCTTCGCCAAAATCTCGATCCTGTTGTTCTTCTCCCGAATTTTCCCGGCAAAGTGGTTCCAGCTCACCGTCCGCTACTTTATCATGTTTTTGCTGCTCCACGGGCTGATATTCCTGCTGGTTATCGTGTTCCAATGCACGCCAGTCTCTTCGGTCTGGGACAGAAGCAACCCGAACCGGACATGCCTCAACGTGACCGCCATTGGATACGCCGGAGCAGTCTTCAGTATTGTGGAAGACTTGGTGATCTTGGTTCTGCCTATCCCCGAGTTGGTGAAGCTCCAGCTCAATATAAGGAAGAAAATTGCGCTGGGCTTCATGTTCAGCCTTGGCTCATTGTAAGTATTTCTTTACAGCCATATTGGTCTGTCGTTATCGACGGTTGTGACTAACATAGTTCGCAGTGCCTGTATCACAACTATGGTTCGTTTGAAATATCTCGTCATGTTCTCGAGCACTTTCGATACTACGTGGGACAACGTCGACATTGTCATATGGTCCATCATCGAGGAATTCTGCGCCATCCTCTGCGCAAGTCTTCCAGCACTCCGGCCTTTGCTTCAAAAGGTCCCGCAACTCTTCTCCAGCAACAAGACCAACACCAAAGATAAAAGCTTAGGGACGGTAAACTCAAGACGCTCTATGCTCAATATTGGAAAGGACAAGTTCCACGAAATTCCTGAGACGCCGTCGATGGCTTCAGAGCTACCACCCACACCAATCGATCTTGCAGACGAGATGGCGGCAAAGGCCGACGGGAAGCGTCAAGTCCTCATCACCAAGGATGTAAAGGTCAACGTAGCCAATTTTGAGCTGCAAAATGTCAAGTCTGGCAGGAAATGGCAAAAGAACGAAAATGGGAGGTTCTAATTGGTCAAGGAGGCAGATAGGAAGAGAGTCGAAAGTATTCAGCGTTATGGACAAACGTTTTTTTGTATTACATTGGCATTAAAGCGACGGCGAACTTGGAAACTTGATTTGGGAGCGGCGGAATACCAATACCCAGAATACCATTTTGTTTCAGCAAGGGTATAGAACACGATCAAACTTGGGATGTGTGTATAATGGAACGAGTAATGAGCAGATCAGCCGTCGCGCGCTTTGTCCAACTCCTGCGTCTCTCGTGTCTCTGCCTTCTGCTCCTCCGTAACCAAGTCCCAGTTCTCATCCAACTGCCGACGATATTCTGCCGCTACCAAGCCAGTGGTGACCACCAGATCGAGGTCGAGATCTGCGAGAGCGGCATGCAGCTCGAACCCGGGCCCCCACCCGGCCTTGCTCATCGTGTTTGTATGACTTGCAGGTGCAGGTCGGCTCCCGCCTTCTCCACTCCCTCTCGAACTGTGTCCTTCTTCTTCTTCTCCTCTGGGGCCAGCATTCACCACGTGCAGCCTCGGACGGAAAAAAGCTAGAGTTTTGCCGTTGAAATCGATGAGCTTCATGCCTTTGCCGTGCTTTCCCAGATCCTCCCACAGCATCTCGCCCACGCCCAGGAAGCGGAAGCTGAGAGTACTAGACAGGGGGTGCTTGCGTGCCACCTTGAACTTGACACCTCGGACGGTAGCCTCTACCCTCGAGGGTAGTGTGCGGAGTTTGACAGCGGCGATGGGGCGGTGTTCTGCGGAGATGGCGTCGCAGTTTACTCGCCGGATTTCCATTTTGGTCATTTTGGTGTTATGACTGATTGTGTATACTGGGATGAGACACTCTTTGTGTTTGAGTAAGTTGACAACGATAGCATCCTCGTTGCCTCTACTGAGGACAAGGATGTGTCGCGGCTCTGGTGGGATTTCCATAAGGTATGTGAGGAACTAGCTCAGAAGAGACGAGCAGGGCTGGTAAATTCTCAGGTTTCCTACATTAATATCAAGTTTCATCTGCTGGAAAGACGTTGAGGAAATGTATTCCGCGGGTTTCTTGTATGTTCGTTGACGTATGCCAGAGTTTCCCAAGGTTACTCAGCAAGACTCTCAGCGAGACTATCTATGGGCGGCATCCCACGGTGCTCTGAAAGTACATAGACCGAAGACGGGATGGAGAAGGCCATAGAAGGTGGTTCATCTATGAATCTCGGGCGCAATGGTGAGACGGATGGGCGAACCAAAGTGTCAGATCCATGAGGGGAGCTGAAGCTGCCTCACTTGGCATCTAAAACCAAGCCCAAGGCGCCCGTCTCCTATCGCTCGATGCGCCGCGGCGGCTATGCTGTGTACCTTTCTCCGATGACGTATGCCTCAATATTCCTCTGGTAGAAGCTGATGTGCCGACGACGGGAAAATCCCCAGTATCCCACATACGGCCAAGCTCGGGCATTTTGGCAGCGATTTAAGGTTTCGGCGAGGGCGGGGCGATCGGAGGTGGAGTCGCTTTGCAGTTCACCGTCAGGGACAAGCCGCGATGCCGGTTCTACCGGGGGAGGGAATCTCGATACGACGGGCGCATCCGCGTGTGACCGGAGACTTAATCGATCTTGTCCCTCTCTAAAGCTTGACTGACATATGGCTGGGTATCAGAAAGGGGCGTGTCTAGCCGAGAACAGCCCATTGTCGCGTGTTACTGCAAGGAACGCATGGTTTGGTCAATCGATGGTTCTGCTGAAGGAACTCTCTTCTCCGATCGTGATCGAAGACATGTCGAACCTGCTGAAGCTTTGGAAGAATGTAAAGATGTGTCAAAATGGACATATGAATGAAGGAAAGAAAGAAAGGGAATGTGGTCAAGTCCCACATTATCCATCAAAGTTGCATCAATGAAGAGTATGCACATAAGAAATAAATGCAACACTCATCTGGCCATTCGGAAAGGCAAGCAGTAAATGCATCTATGCATCTAAGCAGCTATGACGATGGTGGGGCTGATTCCATAGTAGCCTGGAAGGAGCTCCCCGAGGTCGTTCCTTCCTGCAGCAATGGCACCGTGCTTTTGGGGAGGTACCTTCCGTCAGCAGCAGGAGCAGCAGGAGCAACGTGGACGGGCAACCGGGAAGCTTTGCCCGCACCCAACGACCATCACCACCCGACATCACGATCCTTTGACAAACTTGGGCGTGCGGCTCTTCACACCACATCCTTGTCAAAACACAATTCAAAGCTGCGACACCGACACCCGGTCTCATGAATCTTTGACGCAAACCTCCCCCACCGGCCATGAATTGACCTGCAAGTCAAGATGCCTCCCCCCGAGTCCCGCCCCCTCCTTATTCCTCAAAATCGCAAGCTTCGTCATCTTCGAGGCATCTACCTGCGAAACCTGAGCTTCATTCGCCCTCGAGGCCACACCATTGATGATACTGCTCTGAACAAGACATCCTCGAAGCTCGAATCTCTTCGCGACACTCCTCAGCTCCAACATGCTCTCTCCAGCGACAATCTGCGACCCAAAGCGCTGCGCCGCCGCAGCACTGCTCTGGCCCAAGCTACACCAATCACGAGACAGCGCATGCTACAGTTGACCATCGACGGTAGGGCCGCCGATGTCTTCTTCTCGCTGCATTGCGAAGGCGAAGATGAGCCAGTCTATATCAGTGAAATGCAGGAGCATGCGACGGTATGTCAAATTCCAATCCTTGTGTTCCACAGGCGGACTGACAAGGCGACCAACAGAACTTCAACTTTCAATTCTTCGATCTCAACCACCATGGCCCCTCTGTCACCCGCTCCCCGGTGATGACGATCAAGATCTGGGCGAAGCGAACAGCATGGACTTTGCTGCTTCAAGATACAATCGATCTCCGAAGTCTCCATTTCATCGGCAGCCTCCAGAATCGCAAATTCCCGCCCAACGGCCTCATCTTCCACCTTGCCGACGGTATATACTCGCTCGATGTCCCGGCCAAGCCCACGCACCCGAAGGAGCTGCCACCCCTCCACACATCTTCTTACAACGCTCTGATGAAGCTCGCGACTCTGGACAACTCTATCCAGGACGCCATTGCGACACAGGAGCAGCTCACATCCCAAATCAACGACATCCTAGATGAGACCGCGCACAACGAGACACCAGCCGCCGAGGAGAAGGTGAAGCTGGCCAACAAATACGTGGCCCAAGAGCTGCGATCCTTGAAGGCAGCCGAAAAGCGGCGAGAGGAGCTACGCGAGTCTCTCAAGTCGCGTCGAGAGGCGATTGCCCAAGGCCGCGCCCTCCAAGATAAGCTGGCAAAGGATATTGTCGACGCCACAGAGCACCTATCGGCATCTAAAGAAGTTCTTGCTAAAACTAAGGAGACGATTCGCGGTCAGCGACGCCGTATTTGCGCAGACCTCGGCAACATCTACCAGATCACGCCCTGCCCCGCGAGTGCTCCCCTCTCTTTCCAGATCGCGGGCCTGCCCCTTCCAAATACAAGCTACGACAGCGCCACTTCACGCGGCCCCGATGACGACCTTCTCTCCGCCGCTCTGGGCCATGTGGCTGCTCTGACCAATGCGCTGCAATACTACCTGTCTGTGCCGCTTCCATACCCAATCACGCCTTTCGGCTCACGGTCCCATATTCGCGACGATATATCTCTGCTTACCGATCTGAACTCGGTGCAGGCGGCTCGACAGCGCGATTTCCCCCTGTACCTCCCGCGAGGTGGGTCGACCGCGGCCCAGTATCGCTTCGACTACGGTTGGTTCATTCTCAACAAAAATATTGAGGCACTCTGTGCCAGCCAAGGGTTGAAAGTCGTCGACATACGTCATACGTTACCCAACCTCAAGTATCTCCTGTACGTGTGCAGCGCCGGCACCGAAGAAGTTCCCGAGCGTAAGCGAGGCGGCGTCCGTGGTCTCTGGGCGGGACGGTTTAAAGGTCGCATCCCTTCGTCGGTGGCAGGCGTTGGCGATGAAGACTCGAGCAGCGTCGGCGGCAGTCGCCGTGGCAGCACCGACAGCGAGGTGCTCAGCCGGCAGCGTGATGAGCTTAGGAAGGCCATGACCGTTCGTGACGGTGCGAATTCCCCTGTCGACTACAACTTCACTCACGGGAATGGTGGGTCTGCGGGCCTCCCATTCGATGAGTTCAAAGTGTCGCTGAGAACCAAGGGCATGAGAGAAAACGCTGGGAACTGATGGCAGCCGTTGCCAGAAAATTCAGGATGGTTCAACGTTAATCGAATTACGTGGTTTCGTTGTTTGAGATACCCCGGCGATTCGTCGCCGCCATAATAAAATTGCTAATGCTGGAATCAATCGTATCAAACAACATTCGGTGGGAATCGTCTCCATGCCCCCAATGCCCCAACTGGAAAAAAGTACATGTAGCAACACCGTGAACAACATGCGTAGAAATACGCCACATGCTCCCCTCAACGCCGTGAAACACCAAATAACACAACCCGACACCATCCTTCCGTCATGGCAATTACAGAGACCGCCAGAGACGACCGAGCTGCCACTAACGCTCCGTCGGCACAAACTTGACGCTCTTCCTCCTCTCGCGCTCGCCGGGTCCAGTCCTGCTCCCCGGGCTTGAACTCAGTATCCCTGACGTAGGCGTACCGTTCGCCAACGCCTCGCGAACGCTCTCCACCGCACGACTCTGCGGCACTTCGACGCTGTCGCCGCGGACATTGGGCGGGATCACAGGACTCCGTCCCCCTTCGGCTTTACCCCCTCCACCGACGCCGCCAACCAAACCGCCCCCGCCGATGCGTACTTTCTCGACAGCTGCACGACCAAGCTCGTCTGAGCGCGTCGTCGACTTCTCATCCCGCCATTTGCCGGGAAGACACGCGTGTCCGCAACCGTCGAGGGGACAACACCCGTCGCTGAGCTCGTAGCTGCCGTCGTCCGAGGGCGCGTGCCAGTCTTGAAGACAGGTCGCGTGACCGCCGTGGGCGCAGCCGGGACAGTACCACCATATGCTCATCACCGGGTCGGTTGGTG